GCAAAATTGTGGAAAAGAAGAATGTTGTGCAGAAAGTACCAAATGTAACAAATGCTGTTAACAACTCTGTAACATTGAAAAATTTCAACACTTTGAAAAGCGAAAACTTCTCATCACCTAGTAAAGTAACAAAGTTAAGAATAAGATCACAAGACGGTAAGGATCTTGGAGAAGTGAAAGTAAAATTTTTATCACAAGAAAATGTGTTAAATACTAAAACAATTACCTTCAGCAAAGCTAGTTTGAATCATACAATAAGTAAACCTATAAAACTTTCCATTATGTCATCAAATAATTCAGGCACAATAATGAATTACAAGAGTTTACGAAATGATGTTAAAATGTCGAAAGTGGCTGCAAAATTAATTTCTTCTAACAACTTAAAAGCTGATTCTGATAAACAGTCTGATACAAAAGAGAAAAATAACAATAAAGTACAACTACAATATGCTTTACCTACAGTAAATAAAATTAAGCAGCTAAATAATGATAAATTGATATTATTAAAGAATAATTCTCATAAATATTCTGAGAAAGTTCAAGATCTAAGTAAAAGTATTCCAAAATATGTAACAATAAAGAAAAATAAAATACTATTTGTAAATAATCAACAAAAACATGATTCTAATAGTAAAAAAGATATAAACCACACAGATGAAAATAAAAGTAAAATGAACACATCAAATATTCAGCAGGATTTAGATTCTGTAAAACATCGGAAATTAACAGAATCAAAATTTCCTGTAGTAAAATGTAAGAAATTCTCAATATTCAAGAATAAAAGGAACTCTGATGAAACTTTTAGATCTTGTGTGAACACCAATAATACTGAATCAATAACTAACGCTGACCCAAAAAATTGTATTGTAGAGAAGAATATTAATTCATTCAAAAATTCATCTAGTATGAAGCCGGTTAATAATACAGAGCATAATACAAATATTTCTATAAACCCATTAAATTCTACAGACAAAGTGATTCATGTAACTTTTCAAAATGGAGAAAAGAATAGTTCTGTAATTTTAGATAAGAGAAGTATACTTAAAAAACAAGATGATAAAATTACTTTGGTACCTGCAAGTAATAAACAATTAAACAGTGAAAGTCAAAATGTGTTTAATGATATGCATAAGTCAAATTCTGACCAAAATAAAACAATATCTAATAATAATAATAGCATAAGAGTTAAAGATTCAATTTGTAATGTTCACCAAAATGAAACATTACCTAATGATGACAGCACGAAGAGTGAAAATTCGACTTCTGAAAAAAGTAATGATAAGAGTAAAGCTAATGAAACAGGTTCTGCTGAAATTCCTAAACAGGACAAACTATTGCAGCATTGGAACATAATTCAAGAAGCAGTGATAAGTGTGAAAGACGAGGAACTTCGAACGAAAGCTTTACAAGCCCTAGCGGATTGTGGAATAGGCATGCCAAAACAAGTTCCAATTAGTCCACCAGAAAAATTAAAAACAGTTCATGATTCTCCAATTCAAACAGATGTATTTGGACTATTAGATTTAGAAAATTTTGTATTAGTAAAAGAAGATACACCTGTTTTGAAAAGAATAAAACAAACAGAACAGTCAACTGTTCACCCACCTACTATAAATGCAGCAACACAAGTACATTCTGTAGTGAACGTAAATAGAAATATTGATGATATAAATTTATTCCCAAGTTTGACTCCAGTATGTAGCCAAGATGTTCTTGAATTAGATAATTATTTCAATGAATATTTTAGTGAAAATACAGATGTAGATAGAGTTAAAAAAGTATTATCCACACACCATTCATTGTATAATAAAGTTTCCACCCAGCTGAAAATTGATCATGAAGGAATGCAACAATTTGATGAATCAGGTATGCTTAATATACATAGAGCTGTGGTAAATAACCAGTTGCAAGAAGTACAAAGACTGTTACTGGTACTACAAGCATCTAAAATCGATATTGATGTACTCACAGAGGATGGAGAGGTAAATTCATCACAGTTTTATGACAAGTTATTGCATAGAAAACATTGAATTAAAAAGGAAGTGTTGTTTTCAGACGTGTTTAGAGTTAGCAGTTAAGTATAATTCATCTGAGGATATAGTCACCGTGTTACTAGAAGCTGGGGCAAAACCAATTACATCTGAACTGTTGCATGAATCCGCGATTCTGTTAGCAAGCAAATGTTCTTCCCCATTATTGCCAGTTTTCCTGAAATACGTAACATATCCTGAACTACTCAATCAAATGGATTCCCTAGGTAATTATTAAAATTTTAAATACATTGAAAATAGAATATTTATTCTAATGTGTATGTACGTTTTAGGATTTGCCGCATTGCACTATTGTGCACTCTCTGGTAATTTAGAAGGTGTCAGCGCTTTGATAGAAGCTGGCGCAAACGTGAATTTAAAAGATAGTCGTTCGGGGAGAACTCCATTCTTTCACGCTCTCGAAAATAATCATGTACAGGTTGCGCAGAAGTTATTGGTTAATGGAGCAGTCGCGAATCTCCCAAATTTTTCCGGACAGACTGTTCTGGCTTTAATAGACGAAACGAAGAGCCTTTCTATAAAAGCTGCATTGAAACATGTAATGACAACATAGCTTTTTTTATATGGGAAGGTTAATTCTAATTATAAGAATA